AGTACCCAAAAGCCCTTTTGAATCAGTTTAAACCTTAGCCAACCCATATCAGTCTTTATCTTCCTCTCTCAATTCCCAGATCCAAATCCCGCGCTCCAAGGTCTCTCACCGGCGATATTGCTTCCCGGATTCATAACTCTCTCTCTCTGGTGGTCGGAATTCGATGATTCAACTATCCTTGGATTCCTCTCGTCGAACTCTTTCTTTTGGTGGGTATTTCATTCAGTTTGGAGTGCTGGATCTGTTTCTGCAATTTTTGTTTTAGTCGGCGTATATCGACGACGGTGGTCTTACCAGAGGTGTAATTTGTTTTTCGCCAGTCGGAATTTTGACGGGCTATCTGTTGGTTGTAATACCTATACGCAAGTGCACGTATCGTACAAGTAATAAAGTGGATTTTTTAAGTCCAAGTATCGATCCCACATAGAATATTTAATTATCTAATCCTAGACGCTAAATTCTACCAATTGTTTTCAAGCCCACCCTACACAGTTGAATTTAGAGAGAATTAACTAAATTAAAATAAACTAAATGAAAGAAAATTAAAAAGACAAAGCAAGAAAGCAAATTAAACACGAAGATTAATCAAAGTAAACAAGCTTAGGATTATATTCTTCCCCCTATGTGATTATTACTCCCCCAATTCCTCCAATCATGTGCTAGCAATTAACCCGGATTATTAACTTGAGATGCTAATTTAATCATAACCCGCTTCCGCGTGCATTACGATTCTAATACTCTAGATTCAATTACTATATTCCTATGCAATTAATTCTAGAACACAACATTAAGCATACATCTCAATAATGGCTACCTAAGAGATTAACTATTTTCCTATGTTAATACCACAAAGGTTCTTCTACCATAGTTCTAATTACTAATCCTATCTTCCGATTCATGCGATTAACGTACAATAGCATAAAAGCACATAAGGTGATCAAGTTCATGCACTTAATAAAACAAGTAAAGAAATAATCCAGAATTAAAACTTGCATAAAATCATAGAAAAGGGTTCATAAATCCCACATAGGGGTTCCAAATAAAATCCTATAAATAAGAAAATTAGCTACTCATGATTAAAGAAAAAACGCAAGTAAATTTAATCATAAACGATAAGTCTATGCTTGGAGTCTTCGAATTCTTCGTCTTCGTTATTGCTTTGTTGCTCTTGAAATAACGTAAAAGATGGATCCCCAATTCTGTGTTTGGCTTAGGGGTGGTAAACGAGTCGAGCCGGCTCGCGAACTCGACGAGCCGGCTCGACAAAGGCTCGAACTCGAGTTCGGACGAGCTCGAGCTCGAGCCCAAAATTAGTTGCTCGACAGCTCGCGAGCTGCCTTTTTTTTATTTTTATTTTTTATTTTTTTATTATATATATATATATATATATATATATATATATATATATATATATATATATATATATATATATATATATATATATATATTAAAAAAATAAATATTATATATTTATTATTATTATTAACTAAATAGTAAATAGTCTATAATAATAAATATTTCTAGTATTTAAATAAAAACAAAT